TCTCTCTCTCTCCTTCCTTCCTTCCTTCCTTCCTTCCTTCCTTCCTTCCTTCTTTCTTTCTTTCTTTCTTTCTTTCTTTTTTCCTTTTGGTTCTTTCGAGACAGGGTTTCTCTGTGTAGTTTTGGTGCTTGTCCTGGACCAGGCTGGCCTCGAACTCACAGAGATCCGCTTGCCTCTGCCTCCCGAGTGCTGGGATTAAGGTGTTCACCACCACTGCCAAGCTCTGTCTTGTTTTCTGACCACTCTGAGAGACACCAGCAGGAAGGGACAGAGTTAGTGAGCCTTGAACTTGGGACCTATTGCATGTGTAGGAATGCTTTGCAAATGACTTCCTCTTTGCTAAGGAAGTAGGATTTGAAAGCCATCCAATATTTTTTGTTACTTAAAAAGGGTTTATTATTTAATTTGATTTGATTTATCTATGTTGTGCCTCCGTGTAAGTCTATGTATCACGTGTGCACAGTGCCCACCAGAAGAGGGTGTTGGATGCCCTGGAACTGGAGTTACAGATGGTTGTAAGCCCCGTGTGGGTGCTGGGAATTGAACCTGGGTCCTCTGGAAAAGCAGCCAGTGCTCTTCACCACCAAGCCATCCCTCCAGTCCCAAATTTTTGTTTTCTGTGGTGGAGGGATCGAGCCCAGGGTGCCCTACTACTCAGCCACATCCCAGCCCATATAACTATTAATCAGTGACCGACCATTACAGGCAGGGTCTCTGTAGCCCAGACTGCCCTTGAACTGACAGTGCTCCTCCTGCCTCAGCTTCCCAGAGTGCTGGGATTTCAGGTCTGTGCTTTGTTCTGGCTCAGAATGAGTCTTTTAGAGCAGTAGTAGGTTTGTTTTCTTCCATGAGCTATTTTGTTTCTCACAAAAGCCCCATGAAGCCGGGCGGTGGTGGCGCACGCCTTTAATCCCAGCACTCGGGAGGCAGAGCCAGGCGGATCTCTGTGAGTTCAAGGCCAGCCTGGGTACCAAGTGAGTTCCAGGAAAAGGCGCAAAGCTACACAGAGAAACCCTGTCTCGAAAAACAAAACAAAACAAAACAAAAAACAAAAAAACAAACAAACAAAAAAACAAAAAAAAGCCCCATGAAGTTGGCGGGCTGCTTTAAACAGATGGCGATTCTGCAGGTGTGGAGCAGACTGACCTGTTCAAGGCCTTGTGAAAAGCCAGGATCAGTGCTGGGCCAGTGTGACCCCAGATTAAGTGACACACCTCAGCTGTTGCCAAGCATGTATAGAACAATGGCATGTGGAATATCCGTGGTATGTGTCACCACTACCCCTTTGGTTCCATGATATGTCTATGGCCCCAGGATAAACCCCAGCCCCATTAAACTGGTTTCCAATCTTTATCATCACCAATCTGCTTTTTATTTCTGTGGAATCATCTATCCTGAACATTTTAGTCAGCAAAAATTTTTAAGTGTTTACATTGCATAGTGGAAATCAGTCCTTCATGCTTTTTCATGGCTGAATACTATTCTGTTGTATGGACATACCCCATTCTATGGGTCACCCATTGGTCCCTGGACATTGAGCTGCTTTCTCAGTGGCTACTATGACATTACTGCTATGAGGAAGCACATGTGAGTCTTTGAGTGGGTTCTGGTGCCTTCCATGGTCTCAGGATGTTGGCAGTTGCTAGGATCTAATGGCTCTGAAGTGTAGGGTATTCCAGGCATTTCACTTCCTGACTCCTGACTTCAGTGTGAACCTATGTTTGGGGCACGAGTGCCTGAGTGAAGCCTCCCTTCCCAAGAGCAAGTTCAGAGTCATATTTAGGATGCAAAATGAGTCCCTATTAGGAAAGCTTTGCTTTTTTTTTTTCTTCAAGATTTAGTGTGTGTGTGTGTGTGTGTGTGTGTGTGTGTGTGTGCAGGTACCCATTGAATCCCCTGGAGTTGGTGTTATAGGCAGTCTTGAGCTGCCTGATGCTGATGTGGGCTCTGAAAATTTTACTGAACACATTTTTGTGGTAGGGAGCATCATCTTGGGGGCAGGGTGTGTGTGTGGGAGCATCCCTTGGCCTCTTAGTTTTATTTGCTGTGGTTCATTCAGGATCCACGAGCGAACCCTCAGGGAGTGGGTCCCTTAATCAGAGAGGTCACAGACAGCTCAGCTCCCAGAAGCCCTTTGTTTGGGAGGAAGGAGCTGCAGGTGATATGTGTGCCAGCTTTGTTTATAGTTTCCCTCAGTCTTTTCCTACACAGGCCACAGGGCCCCATGCAGCCTCGATCAGGATGCTGCCAGCCTGAGGCATCCCTTCACAGGAGCAGGGGCTGTTTAGCATCTTCACAGAGTTAACAGTGAGATTCTGACCCCAAGGGAGTGTGTGTGTGTGTGTGTGTGTGTGTCCATTTCCTGATATTATTCTCTCTTGCCCCTCTGTTGCTAGGTAGCTGGTACATCTGGCAATTGCCAAGTTGAGGATAGAAAGGGCACATGAGGGTGATGGGCAGCTGGATGGGGAGGGAGATTGGACAGGGATAAGGGACCCAGGCAGCGGGGAGCTCTGCATAGCCGCCTCATTCTGCATCCTTAGCACAGCCTGGTGGGCACATCCACGTCTGCCTCCACCTGGCTGCAGGGCCCTGGACCACCTGCAGGGGCAGACCCGGCCCTGGGCCGCCAGGGGAGCTCTTCAGCCCTGAGCCCTGCATCAAGGTCCCCAGCTCCGCCTCCATTTCTGCCCTGCTTTTGACCACAGCTCCGTGAGAGACGCCGGCAGGGAAGGGACAGAGCCATCTTGGGATGCATGTGTGCATGCGCGTTTGTGTGCGCACGTGTGTGTGTGTGTGTGTGTGTGTGTGTGTGTGTGTGTGTGTGTGTGTGTGTATGCGCGTGTGTGTGCGCGCGTGTGTGTTAAAACACTGCCTTTTCCAAGCTCTGGCTACTGCTCTCTGTCGGGTGGCTCTTTCTCTCTCTCTCTCTCTCTCTCTCTCTCTCTCTCTCTCTCTCTCT